ATGGTGCCCAGCGAGAGCGCCCTGTTGAGACGGCCGGGAAGAGAGGACGAGGCAGTTCTGCGTGGGGACCTGAAGAGCTGCTGGTTTGTCAGGTGGAGGATACTGGGTGGTGTTGGGACAAACAGAGACGTGGCAGGTGAAGGGAAGGCTGTGCCAGGGCTGCTGGGAAAGACAGTCATGGAGTCCCCAGAGAGGAACCTGTGAAGGACACGCATGACAGACACTTAGCAACAAGAAATCCCAGCACCTGCCTCTCTCCTGCTTGCAGGAACACCTGCTTTGGTACCAGGTTTGCACCAACTTTTCAGTGCAGGAGTGCTGAAGAGTTTACAGGAATGTTGCTACACTTTGGGAAAAGAACTGCTCAACCTTACTTAAATTACTGTGCACCAACCTGTCCTAAAATACAGGGTGGAAAAGAGGGTAGAACAGTTTAGGAATGCCAGTGAAAATACCCTGGATGAGAAAATTACCCAGAGAATGCTTTAAGAAGTCCAGATGTTAAAATACAGGAATTTTGTATTCTTTTTGACAATTTAATGAAAATACATGAAAGAAAGTCTAGAATATGAACCAGAATCTCTGTTCCTCTGTACGATTTTTTTTACTTAGAAACAGGTAATAGAACTGTCAAATAAATCATGATGAAGAACTGAGTATGAAGTGCACACGTTTTTAAAAGGAGGTATCTGACTTTGCAGATACAATTTAGCAGATACAATATTTGGAGCCTTAATCTCACTTGGAATGGAAACAGAGACAGATGAGAGCAGCAACATGGTTACATGGCTTTTCTTCTGTCCGAGGAAAGCCAGGAGGAAATCAGAGGGTGAAGAAAATCTTAGCCTTGCACTGTGGGGTGCTTTCTGCACGTGTCATTCTGTCCTGGGGATAAAAGAGTTGGTGCAGCAATATTATGCCATGCTAACTCCAGAGTGAAGATTACAATTTAAAGTATCTTATAAATGAGTTATCTGCTAGTAGGAGGCAGCCAGCACCAATCCTGACCAGCTTAGTGAGGCTGAACACGTGAGCCAAGCAGGGTGCTGGTGCAGGACATGCCTCTAAAGCAGCCAGGGATGTTCTGGCCTTGTAGCCCCAGTGGCCCAAGCTCTCAGGCTCCAGAGGATCTGCCTTTAAAGGGGGTCCTGCTCTGGGGAGCCCTTCAGAGCATCCCACACACACAGATGGGTGTGCCCAGCTCAGCTTTGTAAGAGGAAATGAATGGGAAGGGGAATTAGAAGTGCAGCCAGGACTGATATGAATCAAAGGAGAAAGAGTGATACCTACCCCTCACTGTGCCATGGCTGTGGAGGGCCAAACCAGAGCATCACCTGTGAGCAACTTGGCTCTTTTGTCCTAACTTTGCACCTTCTGTGTCTTTGGGCTAAAGGATCCAACTTTACACAGCTCCTTGCTGCAGCAGAAAACAGCTTAACTGGTTTATTGGCTTTTGGAAGTCTTTCATTTAATGGGCTGGGAGATATTACAGTAATTTATCACTCATAACCACAGTCCTGGGACTGTAACTGTTTTGGATCAGGCTTCCATGGGCTCTGCTGCTCAACAGCCCCACTGCTCAACCTCACCCAGTTAGTGCAGCCAGAGCCTCAGGGCAGTGAAGAATGGTCTTGAACCATCCAGAAAAGGGATTTTTCTGATTAGCAAAGAGGAGCTAAGATATTCAAGTATAGCTTATTAATGCCTTAGGACTGAATTCTGACCAAAGTGTGTCCTAAACTTTGATCTGTTCTGAACAAATTCCTGCTAAGTGTGCAAAATCCTGTTCCTGTTCTCTGCACTCTTTAGTGTTTGCCACTGCCATGTCAAGAGGGCTCGATGCTGCTAAAGCTCTCATGGGAATGAGCTTCATGCCTGAGAATGGGTAGCTGAACTAAAACTTCTTCCAGAAGCAGATAAAAAAAAGGTGAGGAGATCAAGAGGATCATGAGGCAGGAAGCAACCACATCACAGCCCCAGGATGGAGCACTGCAGCTGTGCCTTTGCTCCAAGCCATCTGTCACATGGTAATAGTGGCTCTGGCAACAGTAAAAAAAAGCAACATAAAAAAAAGAAGGAAAAAAAAAGGCTCTGGAGTCAGATAGTTTGTGGAAATAGTCGAGGCCCGGAAGCCGTTTATTTCAGAATTTGATATTGTGAACATCAAAAGTTGGGTATCTTAATTAGTGTTTACAATGATCACAATGTTACTAGACAGTTGGGCACAACTCTGCTACACAGATACTTTAAAAATAAATAAATAGATAAAGAAAGGTATTACATGGTCTGGGACTGTACACGGTCCTGAAGAAACGCGTCCTGCCAGGAGAGCCTCCCCTCCTCTGTCCCAACAGCTCCCTGTTATTCACACAGCACCACACGTGTGTGCCTGCTTAATTCACATTTTACCAGAGGTGCTGCATCATCCCTGGGACAGAGAGGGACAAGGGAGGGCACGGGGCAGGCCAGGCTGCAGAGGGCCCCACTCCTCTGTCAGGTTATTCAGCCCATGAGGAAAGAAGGTGAGGTGCAGTCACAGGCAGGAGCTTGGGGGCCGTGCCCAGCTTCACCTGCCCTGGCAGCTGGAGCTGTGTCAGCCAGGGGGTGAGATATTTCCTCTGGACTCAGTGTCCCCTGGGAACTGAGCTGCCCATGTACAGCAGGCACCTCCAGGTCCCTGCCACCCAGGAACAGGTTAACCCTGTGTGCCCTGACACTGCCCTGCCCTGCTGCACCTCCTCACTCAGGGCCACAGCCTGTGCCTCCTGTCAAACTCAGAACCACGAGTGAAGAGCAGTACAGGAATAAAAAACAGGCACAAGGACAAGGGAGAGTAGTGCTAAAATGGGCACAGCTCTCAGACATATTAATATTTTGATATGTGGCTTAGAGAGCTAGAAACTTCAGCTGCCAAGAGTAAGAATTCTTGCCTCTTGCCTGTTGTCCTGCTTTGGATGAAAAAGGAGGGTTGAATTAGAGCTGCCACGTCCTGCACTAAGACCTTCTAGAGTAGAGATGCTTGTCATCAGCTGTACCTTTCCTCCCCAGCTGGTGGCAGGGAGGTGTGTGTGTACATGCACATCCTACGCCTACACAAATCCAGACTTGCTGGCATGCCAGGAGTGGGCAGGAGCCTCCTCCTGCCTGTACACCAAGAGCTTTGGTCCCAGACGAGGCTTTAGAGGGATGACTTCAGGACTGAGTACTGTCCCTTTCCCTGGAGAGCACCTGCCATGCTCAAAGAGCCAAGTGTCTTTGCAGGTGACAGCACACCTGGAAGGAAATGGCAGGCTGCATGTGACAGCACACGATTTCAACAGCACCTCTGAAAACCATAGCACAGCTCCCTTCACCTTTCATGAGTGCAGTCAGTCTGGAGCAATTAACTGGCTATTAATTATATTAATTTTTGTAAGAGCATAAATACTTTGTTCACATTACATCAATACACACTTTCTATAGTATCTAAGCATGATTATTAGCTTCACATAATTTCAGCGCACTTGAGAAATATTCATAAAGCCAAAATAATAAGCCACGACACCATTTTTACATTCCCACGTGTTCTCGCCCTTTTGACACACCCAAGCTCACTAGGGCATGCAAAGCATGGATGTAGGAAAGGAGGAGTTGGGAGAAAGGAAAGAACTGGATAGAAATACAGCGTGTTTAGAATGGTGAAGGGTCACAACGGCATCAGTTTGCATGCACTGATGTCACTGAGGGCCTCAGGAAGAAGAGAAGCAGCGGCAGCAGAGATGCTGACTCGGTTGCTACCTCTGGGCTCTCTCTCCCTGCAGAGGCTGCAGTTGCTCAGAAATGTTAGCCCAAGTGTCCCCCTGTGCCCTGCCAGGCTCAGTGGTGGCACAGGAAGGACAGAAGCGCTGGCCTGGCAGACACACGGGCACTGCTGTCCCGTGCTGCAGCCATGTTCCACCAAGCAAAGCAACACAGTGTTGTCCCAAATCTTGTCCAGGGAAAGGCACTTAATGAACCCACATTGGCCCCTTTATAAATCTGGCTCTGCTGGGCACAAGATTTTGAGTTGGCACATCAGCCACGGCCACTCAGAGCCAGAGCCAGGCACCTGGGGATGGAGCAGATTTGATTTTGAGTGACACACAAATCCACTAAACCCCCCAGCACCTCAGCTCTGCTCTGCTGCTGTCATCCCCTGGTCCAGACACATGGCTAGTATGAAAAAGCAGCACCTCAAATTAGGGGCTTTTGGGCTAAAGCCCTCTAATATTGTTAAGATATTCACATGCTCTAGCCTGCATGGCTGAGAAAATCCTTGGGCAACAAAACAGCACCTGGAGACCACCATGTGTTGCTCTGTGGCCTGAAGTAAGAGCCCAGCAAAGGTAAAACAAGAAGCTCAAAGCAGTGACCAAGTGGTTCTGGATGATTTTGTGTCAGCTGTGGCTGTTAGTTGTTACCAAGCCTCTGTTGGCTCTTATCCCACCCAGCAGAAGGAAATGTGTCACAGAAAATAGCACCTCAGCTGCACAGGACAGCACCACTGAGCACCAAAACACACATTTTTTCCTGCTGGGCTCGGTGTGGGGCAAGCAATCATGCAGTTAGATGATGTACCTCAGATATCTACATCTAGATGACATATCTAACTGCTGGGTGAAAAATGCAAAGCACCTTCCATAAAACCTATGGCATGGCAGTGTCTGGGACAGCCTATCTGGCTTTGAAATCAGGTGTGGCAAGAACAGTCTCAGCAAAGGCAGTAGTGGTTTGACTACTTTTTTTCCACAGTCAATGTAGAATACTGCTAACTTACAACTTCTCTGCAGGGCTCGATGTCTGAGACAACTGGGACAGACTGAATGCTGCAGTTTATAAATCAGAACACCTCTGGACAAACCCCACCTTCCTCCTCCTTTCTTCCCTTACCCCTAAAGAGCCATCATCCTCCACCACCAGCAAAAGCAGGTGAGACAAGGAGAAAGGAAGGAGGCTGTCAGCATCAGAGTCTCTAAAACACCAAAAATTCAATTGCTGCAAGTTTGGTTTTGAGGCTCTGAGGTGGTGGTTGCTTTTAGAAGCAGCAGCACAGACATGCTGAGGCACCCAGAAGTGGGGAAAATAAGCTGACACCTGAGCAAAAACAAAAGCTTCTTTGGCATTAAATGAGCCCCACTTCAATATGCACTTTGTTATTCTGTTTCACCTTTGAAATTTTCCCAATTACGAGCACAAAAGTTCTTAAATTGTAAGTTGTGAACAAAGCACCACAGAGATCAGCTGTTCAGCTTGGCCATAAAACAAAGTAGCTTTCTGATGTTCTGACATATAAATTAGTGCAACTAGTAAATATACTTCATTTGTATTAATTTGCATAAAGTGAAGACAAATGGATGTCACTTGCAGTTAACATATCTCCCACATTAAAAGACTTTAAACTCAGTACAGATTTGCACTTGCTGTGCAAACAAAGCTAAAACATTCCTTAACAGGATTATTTAGGCTTCACAGTGTAAATTCTCTCCTTCCCACAGTTCTAGCAACTGCCTGTTCCCAAAATTTAGTGTGCATCCTCCCCATCCCAGCACTGCACAGGGAAAAAGATAACAAGAGAAAAAAACAGGCATGGTAAACCAATATAACATTTAAGAGCAAAATGTCACAAAAGTTGCCTGACCCCAGGGAGCTTGAGGATGAGTCACGTTTAAATAGAAAAAACAAAAGTGCTCCTAAAAAGGGAGGAAAACAGATACTTAGAGGAGATAGCATTCGATAGGAAACAGGACACAGTGAAGCTCAACACAACTTTCAGCTCCTGAAAATAAAACATCTGAAGAGGCTGCCAGCCATCTTAGAAGCTGCCACTGAGAGTTTCCTTACTACTGGGCAAGAGAATTTGGACAGATACTTTTCATTCTTATTAATAAAAGGACATTGCTGACAGAAATCAGGCATGACATTCCCACTGAGTTTGTCAGCTTCTCATAACGCTCCTTTGAGGCTTCTCAGTATATCCTTCAAATATGAGGTTCCTCCCATTCCTTGGACACATCTCACAGGAGAACAGCAAGAGGAATTTCAATCCAAATCATACAGGTAAGTGCAGAAGACAATCACGGATAAAAGTATTTTCTTACATGTACTTTATGAGGAGAATTTGGAAGTCCTGAAGCAGGAAGAAGGGAGGAATTAAAAAAAAAGTCCAGATGCCTTATTTCACTTAATGGCCATAACAGCTCAAGGTTTCCCATGCCTGTGAGCTGGAAGACAAATGTTTTGGGTGAGGACATGGGAATGTGGAAGATGGAACCAGACTTTGCAGGTGCTGGATTCTTCTTGTGGGTACATAAAACAACCCTCAGCATCATTCACAAGCACCAGATGGAGGCAGGTTCTGTTAGCCTGGAGGTGGATATTGCAGTTATCTGAAGGCACCAGAAAAAGATTCCAAAGGAGAGCCCAGGTGGGCAGCAGGTCTGTGTGGCCACTTCCTTGCTCAGTTACAGGCACACAGCCAGGAGCTGCACCTTCCCATGACTCAGCCTGGCTTTTTGTTAATGAATTTCAGAGCTTTTGGCAGTGCTACCTTTATGCTTTCACAATGAATAGCAGTTTGAGGAACAGTAAGTATGAGCAGCTAGGAAATAGCTTTTGTTTCCTTTAAAAAAGCTCCTCTAATTTCACCAGCATCTGCAGCACCCAGTAGTGTCTGCATTTTTCAGCAGGAGTTGCAGATACTTCACAGTGAGAGCTCCACTCTGATTATTTTATAGCTTATACACTGGAAGATCACTAGACCCAATTAACTTACATCAGACTATTAGGGTGGCGAGTTTCATTGTGCTATTCTGAACAGAAGAAAATAGCAGATGTTCTGTAAAAGTGCTATTTCCTCTTGAAAAACCAAAGTCCATATGAGAAACTCAGTGGAGTGCCTTTCAAACAACAGTGCAGGATAATCAGACTGCTTATCCTAAGAGGCCCCAACAAGTTAATCCTAAAAAACCCCAACAGCTGTAAGTTCCTTCCTCCCCACACAGTAATACCCAGCCACCACAGCTTTCGGCAGAGGAGTGCCAGGCACTCAACTCCAAGTCACAATTTCCAGACCCTTTTTTCAGCAGTATTAGCACAATGCCAGACTGCAAAAAGAACCCCTGCAAGTAACCCAAAAAAATCCATCTCTGTTGCCATGCAGTCCCACAGCAGAGCTCCCACCCCTTCCTACAGCACACCCTGCCAATCTGTGCTGCCAGCAATGAACACTGACTGAGCAGTGGTGTACAATGAAAGCATGAGCCTGGCAGTCCCATACTTCTCTCTAAGGCTATAGGAGTGGAGGAACAGAGGCATTTTTATCCAGCTGTGCTTATACACAGATGTTGCTTGGGGAGCAGGTGGGTAAAAAAAACCCAAAGAAAACTGGCATTGAAAGCAACAACCACTGGTAGATCTGAAAATTTAGCCTCAAACAGCTGAATACTTTCAGGTATTAAGACACCCTGAGCACCACGGCTTTTTAAAGCACCTTTTTGAATAAATTACTGACGTTTCAGACAAAAGCACTTAAGGACACTTCTCCATTTGAAACAGGAGCCAGGAGAAGGGCAGAGCGAGAGGGTGCAGGTAAGTGATGCTACACAGTGGAAGGCAAGAAGAACCAGGTATGGGCTCTGTGTGGTCCCCTCCTCGTGTGCCTGGGCACCACAGCACGTGTTAACGAGGGCTCCAAATCCAGAGGCAAGTTCCCATCAGTTCCAAATTAAAATGACCAGCACCATTAGGAAAGTGAAGGTGGCCCAGGCCCCATGGTGGATCAGGGCAGAGGGTTCCTCTGTGAGTGGCTAAGGATGGACAGGCAGTGAGAAGAACCAGGAGGACAGGAGGAGCCAGAATCTCTTTGGCTGGAGGAGCAGAATGGGGAGGAGGAGGAGGCTGCATTTATGGAGGAGTTTTGTGAGGCAGCTGCTGGAAGAAGGGGCTTTGGGGAAGCTGGATATTTGTACTGCTGATGTAGGGTGCAGGAGGAAGGGAGAATGGAGGCAGCACAAGTAGCTTCCATGGCTAGCAGTGGAAATGCTAGCACAGTGGTAAGCAAGGATGGGGAAAAATTATATATATATATACACACATATATATAAGTGCATATATAAATATATATATTTTTTAAAAAAGGAAGAAATCTTCACTGCTTATCTAATTTTAAAAAAAGAGACACAGAGGAGGGGAAAATAACAAAGAGGAGAGAGAAGCACCAGTCGCAAAGAGTTCACAAGGCTTTTTTCCTCCTTCCCCCAGCGTCACTGCTCTGGCTCTGACCTTCGGGGCCGGAATCTCCGCTGGCCCGTTGACTTCCGCGTGGCCACGGCTGCGGTGAAGCCCACCAGGCAGCACAGGGACGTGGTGCCAAACTTGGCCGTGTCCAGCCAGCTGGGCGTCTCCGTCTTCAGGTAGCGCTCGGCCAAATGCAGGCTCATCACTCCGAACCACAGCACCGAGGCAAAGGCATCGATTCGCCGGAGCCTGCCACGGGACAAGAGCCCAACTTCAGTCACCAGCCAACCACCCCGGCCCTGGCAAGGAGAGGGAAGGTGGGCAGGGTACCCAGGCTGAGCAGGCTCTGCACCGCCGCTGACTACAGCACCTCGTGTGCAGCCCTGCCTGCTGCCGGGCAAGTGTCGGAGCAGATCAGCTCCATTTTCTGCCGGAGCTGCACAGGCAGCTTTTCATTCACAGTAATTTGAGCTTAAATGGAACGAACCGAGGCATGCAGCACTACATGTGCCCTTCTGGAATGTGTTTAGCCCTGGATGACCGAGGCAACACGGGACAAGAGAGCTGCCACTAAAGCAGCTTGAGTGAGACAGAAGCTGAACTCACCTGATGCGCCCCGCCAGGAACACGGCCAGCAGGCAGGTGAAGAGCCCCAGCACAGCCACTGCCATCTGGTGATTCTTGCCGTAGGCCCACGCCGCGCTCAGGTTCTCCAGCAGGTGCTCCGGGAGCAGGTGGAGCAGCTCTGGCCAGCCGTGCCCCGAGCTGCCACTGTCACTGTCACCGTCACTGTCACTGTCACCGCGGGCGCTCGCGCCGGTCCTGTTCCGCACGGGAGCGGGGCCGGAGGGGACAGCAGCAGGGACAGCCGTGCTGAGGGAGAAGGGGTCGCCTGACCCATACCAGGCCATGAGAACCAGGAATGCACAGCTGAGGAAGGCCAGGAACCGCAGAAGTATCACCTGAGCTGGCGTGGTGATGGAAGTGGAAGAGGAGGATGAACACAAATTCTGCAGAGGGAGGGAGAAACACCTTGTCAGAATGAACTGCAGCATGGTTTGGAAATGGTGCTGTATGAAACACTTCCAGACTGTATGGTTTACTGGACTGTTCTGCTCAAGTCCTTCTAAGTCTCTGTACTGGGCTGACACCACATGGGATTATTGTACAGTAGCAAGGAGCAACTGCAGAGACATGAGTAGAAGCCAAGTTCAGGCAGGGCAGTGAAACAAGGAGAAGGTCATAATTCAGTTCCCATTGTTCTTTTTTTTTCTCCCTTGTACTCTGTAATTTCCTGCACTGCACTCATAAATTGGCTTCCCTACCTCCCTTGCTCTGCCTGTCCCATTATTTTCCTTCCACTCTATTATTACATTAGAGTTACCTTCTGGCAACTATGCTGAATGACACCAGCAAGAGGCAAACCTCAAGCTAACATTACAAGCATCTCTGGCAACTCTCCTGTGCTCTTCTAAACTGCTGCCACGCACCCAAGCTCCCAGGGCTAGAGAGCCCCGGGCTGCTGCCTCCCTCTCCCAGCTGCACAGGCAGGTGCAGTGGCAGAGCTGTGTCCCTGCACTCCCTGATGGGTCCCCACCTACCTGGGTGTAGCTCTTGTCCGTCTCCCGGCGCCTGAAGTGGTGGCTGAGCAGCAGCGCCCGCAGCTGCCGGTTCTGGTGCTTTATGTAATACTCCACAGCAGCCTGGCACGGGCGGCACAGCTTGTAGGTCTGCTCCAGGTGGTGCTTGTACACCTCAATCTCCTCATCGTACTTGCCCTGGAGAGGGAAGAGCAGAGGAAACGTAGGTGAGAAGTGCACGTGCCTCACCGGTTGTCACGTTTGCAAAGGTCACCCCAGTCCCACAGGGCCAGCTCCCTGAAGCAAGCTGCAGGCCAGGCACACAGCCAGCCCCACACAGAGCTGAGCTGAGCCAGCCTCCACGTCCCAGAAGGGACAGCAAAGAAGAGCCCTGGAGAAGGCTGCTGTGGCCCAACATCAGGATGTTGAATTTCCCTGCCCGATTTTGCTGTCTTTGTTGAGATCTCATGATCTCACATAGGTCAGACAAGTGACTAGAATTGCTCTTCTTCTCCTCCAATAAGGGGACACAAAATCCCTGTGGCTCCTTCACTCCAGGCTCATCCCTCCCTGGAACAGCCAGCCCTGCTGTCACTGACACCCTTATCCAAGCACACTGGATAACACAATCCCAGGTTTCTCAGCTGGCACAGGCACTGCAGCCCACTGAATGCTTAAAAAGGGACCAAAGGCTGGCAGTATGTGAGCAACTGGATAGGTCTGGCAAGAGGCAGGGACCAGAAATAAAGCTGAGAAAAGGGCACCAGCCAAAAATATTATCATTAAGCATGATCAAATTTCAATCTGTTCTCCAGGAATCATTCTGATTAAACTCATTATAATTACACAAAGCAGACTGGATTAGGCAAGACAGAGGATGGACATATCACACTATAGCACAGCCTAACCCTAAGGCTTGACCATGGTTAAAAGGCCAAGGAATGTAGCACTAAATTCTCTGCACAAAACTTTAGGGAGCCATAAATCTGCAAAGGAGAAACCCCATTATCCCATCCTCTATGCATATTAAGTAATGGGAAGGCCAAGAAGTTGCTCAGCAGGAAGTCCTGTTGCTCTAAGTGCAAAGTCCCTTTGCCCTCCTAAGCACAGGTGCCCAACCAGGGAAATCATGGCTGCACAGGATTCCTCTCCCACTTCACTTGTAAGTGCAGAGCAGCACAGCCAGGGCCTCAGGAAAACAAAATCTATTAAGGCTTCATGTTAACTAGTGGGTTGTTGTGCCTCTCAGGTCCCATAAACTTAGCCATGGGAAGTACTGGAGTTGTAAGATGATCTCAGAAATGTCTTGAGCTCAAGCTTCAGTTTCCAGTGCTCATCTAGAACAGGGAAACAGTCCAGCTTTGAAGTAGAATTAGGTAAATGTACAACACTAACCACTGAACTTCTCTGCGCTGGAGTGCCACAGAGTGCTTCTGAAGACTGTTGGAACATCATACCACAGCACACTGAAAAACTGCTCTCTCTCCTGCTTGCTAGGCTGCAGCATGGAATAAACAGAGCAGGAATAGCAGATCATGGATGGGAATGCCTTGGACAAACATTCTCAGTGATGGCAGTCCCTAACGAACACTTACCTCCTCCCTTGGTGAGAATGAAGCCAGCTGTTTGATTTTCATGGTTTGATGGTTGTTGCATTTCTTGCAGAGCAGAATTTGGCTGCTCACCCACTGCTGTGGTTTGGTGGGGTCACAGAAAGTTGGACTGCCTGACACAACGTGGTTAAGGTGTTCCATGTACTGGGCAGGGATGGGCTTGTTGTAATCTCCATTCTGACAAAAAGCAGGGGGAAAAGCAAACATTCAATCATAAAATCAAAGCTAGGCTGACAGCAACATTCCCTAAGTTCTGTCAGCAGTTCTGCATTTCATTAGCTCTCACCTATGTAACAAAATAAATAAATAAAGAGACAAAACGCTTCAAATCTTCCCCCCATCTCCACTGTCCTGCACACCTACCACAAGCAGCTGGTGGTGCTGCATTTCAGCTCAAGGCAGGCTTTGCTATTTAACAGAACACAAAAACAGAGGAGAATTGTTCCATACAGTAAAATAAGTATTATTAAGGGATAGGTCGAGGCCTTTTACACTTTTAAAGTAAGAGAGGAACATTTGTCTGGATCTCTCTAGTCAGCACTCCCCAGCACAGTGGATTCTTTCCCCAAGCTGAGGTGCTGAGCTCTCGTGTGCTCAGCACAGAGCTGCCAGCTGCCTGTTCACCTGCACTGCAGCTGTACCATGCTACCTGCGGCCCAGGCTGCCCAGGGCAGGTGCCAGCCTGCCCAGGGTGTGTGCCAGCCTGCCCAGGGTGTGTGCCAGCCTGCCCCATACCTCCTGGAAGCCGTTGTACTGCTCGCAGTTGGGGCAGTCCCAGCAGTTGCGGTTCCCGTAGGGCACCACCGTGTCCTGGTTGCAGAACCAGCAGTTCACTGTCACGTGCGTGGGCTTCTTCCTGGTAGTAAAAGGGTTTTAAAATCATGGGGATTTTGGGTTAAAAGGAAAATTAAGCTTAGTAGACCCTGGGAAAAATAAATACCCTAGGTACATGAAGATTTTATACCTTGCTAGAACTGCACCTATGTAGCCTGTACATGATATATTATATAATTGTTAGATGTGATGATTGTTTAGTAATATAATTGCCATTTAATCATGGTCAGGGGCCTAAGAAAGATCATGAGAAACTCATGTCAATGTATACAATAGAACAATATAAGTTTAATAATTAATATGTAAGTTACATAACAATAGAATATAAAATACGTTCAGCTCGAAAGCCATGTTGGAGTCAGATTTGGGTCTGTACCCCTGATTCCCAGAGCTCTCAATAAAAGCACCTGCATAGAATCATATCCTGTGATTCTGTGTGTTCCTGAATGCTGACATTCCTGGGGGGAGAACAAACTTCTCAGGCAGGAGCACTGAGCTCAGCTGATGGAGAGGAGAGCAATGGCTTCCAAAAGTGAAATTCAGGCAAACAGCCAATCTTCCCGCTCCAAATGCTTCATGGTATGACTTGGAGTAGTCCTTTCAGCAATGAAAAGATGGAATTCTAAAGCAGAAATAAATTCTGCCTGACAATCATCCCTCTGTTCTAGTACCATGGACATGCCAGAACTTTAATAACAACCTTGTGATTTACCCACTTCACTGTTTTTCAGGGGCATATTTGGGGGTATGAGTCCTCTCCATAATCAGCAATGCTATTCTATGAGAAAGTGCAGTAGAATTGGTGCTTAATACACAGGATTCCAGGAAAAGGAAGTCAGGATCCACAAGAGCTGCTGCTGACGGTGCTCAGAAACCCAGCAAATGGGCATCCCCTGCTTTTCTGCACTAGGACTGAAGGGATAAAGATTACTGACCTTGATCCATGAGCCCCCTGTTTTCTAAAGCAATCCTGCTAAAACAACAGCCAATACAAACAGCTGTGACGTGGCCCCACCAAAACCAGGTTGTGACAGATGTTTGAGCAAAGAACTTCAGCGGCCTGACCCCTGAGCCTGCCTGCTGGAGAAGCTCTGCATTTGTCTCAGAACTCAGTGCAATCCCCCAGAGGAGCTCCCTGGCAGGTCAGGCAGCACAGCAGCTGTCTGGGTTTATCAGGACCAGTCCCAGTCACCCTTCCAAGGTGGGGCAGCTGCCCAGGACTCGCTATGGCAGCTATGCAGACAGATGGACCCAGCTGCCAGCAGCCCAGCTCCAGCAGGGAATTCATTAATCTGTGTGGCTCCAGTGCAGCAGCAGAGAGGGCAACAGAGCAGGGGAGCAAATAACAGCAGCCAAAGTGCTCCCAGCTCTAGGGAATGTTCTCTGCTGCTGAAGCATCTGAATGCTGCAGAAGTGTTGCCTGGCACCCTGCAACCAAACAGCCAGGTGGGTCTTCTCTCTCAGCCATCACCTCTGCAGCTGGATCTCCACAATTAACATTTTTCCCACTCACATTTCCATAGACCATGCCCTGAAACTCGGTTCATAAAACATCAAACCCTCAAGCAATGTCTGAGCCTCCTGTTTAGGCACTAACAATGAGGATATGCTTGAAATGAAGCACTGAAAAGTCAGAATGTACAGAGGATTCCCTGCCAGATGCTGAAAGAAAATGGCTGGAGCTACTAGGATGACAGACTCTCATCTCAAAATAGATGCAAACACCCACACCCCTCTTAAAATGAATATTCCCTGCTCAACTTTCTTCACTGCCAAGGGTGCTCAACTGATCTGACATAAAAATATCACTGTGAAACTAACAGGCAATAAAACCCCCCAAACCAACCCAGAGTTTAAAGCAGACAAATCGAGGTTGATAGTCTGAGTTATCCATGAGCTCCCGCTGTCCAAAGGCCAAGCACATGTCAAAACAGCCAGATGGAGGATGGACAGCAGCACCTGTTGTATCAGCCCAATCTCACTGTCCCAGGTGTAAAAGCTGTGCACATACAACATGTAACTTCAGCCAGCAGCACACAGATCCTGTGGCTCAGGGCACAGCCTGAGCTCCACCCTCTGATGGAATTATTAAAGGTGTAAAAGCTGTGCACATACAACACGTAACTTCAGCCAGCAGCACACAGATCCTGTGGCTCAGGGCACAGCCTGAGCTCCACCCTCTGATGGAATTATTGTCCAGCCTCTGTGGAACCCGCCACAATCCCTTCCTCTGGCACCCAGGAAACAAGACACACCTCCCCTCAGCCTCTACCCACCCCCGGGCTCTAAATTCCAAGACATGACAGAGGTAACAGCACTAATTTCAAGCATGACAGAAAGGGAAAGCACAGGTGAAGAAATGAATAAAGCAGTCATGCTGTAAAGCAAAATGCATCAGTGCCAAACCCTACCTGAGAACGTGCTACTATCATAGAGACCAAATCCTCACTGTGCTCTAGGCCTTTCCATCCTTTCCCAAACAGGATTTCATTTCTCACTCTTGAGGCTCAGGAAGTACTACCAAGGATTAAATAGCAGCACTTCATTTGCAATATAAGCAAAACAAATGGCTAAATCCTGGATTATTTAGGATAAAAGGCAATAATACTTCCTTCTGTGAACCTATAATCTGTTGCCATAGAAATAGGTGCAAAAAATCCCAAATTCCCCATCTGGTGGATGCAGAAGAACAAGGGGAGAAAAAGGTTGTTTAGGTAAGAACATGTAGGTAGGGTGCTAATTTTCTAGTAATTGGGCAGGACTGAGAAAACAAAAACCAAGTTCTGCATTTGGAAAGACTCTTCAAATACAGATTTAACTACTTTGGAGCTATATTTACCTTGACTGGATTCAGGCAGCAGCTGAGGGCAGTGAGCTAAAGCACACGCTGCTTCCAAAGTCAGATTCTGGTATGAGACTGCCAACACAAATCGAGCCTTTACCATGTGCTCAAGCCCTTGCAAATTGAAAGGCAAATCATCCCTGAGGAGTTCATAATCCACCACTGAACTAATCTGAACCAGCTCCACTGGACAGAGAACCTCCCTGCAAACTAAAACCTGAGCAACAAGAAGTGATTGAGTTACTTCAGGCACACTCACAGCTCTCACACACAACTCACACTCAGATCCCACTCACAGCTGAGGTGCTGTGTAACCTGCACACCCAGCCAAGCTCAGAAAATACTCCCAGGCCTGGACAAACTTTTGCAGGTAGAAAATATTTGCTTAAGACAAAATTGAGGGGAAAATACCTGCGGTAAACTCAGTTATGACATCAACACCTAAATGTTTGACATTGCTCAGGTAATCTGACACCCTGCTCCTTTGTGGGAAGCTGCTGGATTCCTTTATTTTGCTCACAAAGATCAGGCTGTAGCTCTGTTGGTCCCATTGACAAACACTGGGTAGCAACTAGTTTGTGTCTGTCATGTAACATGAGGAACCCAGGCTCCTTCCCAGAACTCTTCCCTTCTCATTTAACACACATTTAAGGTCATGCTGAACTCCATGCTTCTAACGGATTGCCAGAACACCAGTTTACCTTGGTAAGTGCTGGTATTAATAAACTGGATTTGTAAATATTTTTATTTACATTTATTCCCCACCCTCTTTAAGTCAGAAGATGTTTACTTTTCTGTAGTCTTGAAAGAGACACTGGTGGATGTGCAGTTCTTCACCGGGTTACCAAGGATTAGAAGAAAATCCCAATTTTCTATTAAAAGTATTTAAAGCAGCAGCCTTCATTCTGGCACAGCTGGATTACAAAGCAATTATTCAAATGGCTGTGCCAGCAAATCTGAACAAAAATACACGGGGAAGAGGAGCTGTTTTGCACAGGTCAGTTTTGATCAAGCCACATCTGGTGGCAGTTGGACAGACCAAGAGCTGGCACGGCACTGTTGGCACAGCTGGGTTCAGACTCAGCTCCCTGGCAGGGAAACTCCTGGGTGGCACAGAACAGCTGCCAAACTCCAGGCTGTGCCCATGCCCACCACCTGTCAGTAAAGGGGTCTGTCAGGGCAGACCCAACACTAAACCCCATTGTCCAGTGCAAGAAAAACACATCACAGCTGCCCAGATTCCAGCAGGTGAGCTCTAATGTAGATGCATTTACTCAGAAGTAGCAGCTAGAGACAAGGTTTAGGCACAAGACCAGAATTCTAGTACAGTGATGATGTAAGTTACAATGCAGCCTGTCCTCCCCCAAGAGCCACACTTCGTGTCCTCTCAACCAGGAAAAAGGTGCCCAGTGCACTCAGGCAGGGACACCCAGTGACAACCACCCCAGGCTCTGCTGGTATCTGGACATCAAATCTTTTATCTCCTTGATAATCAAAAAGCAAAGGCAGCATCATAGCTATGTCTCATATCACATCTGTGCCCCTTATTAAGCTGTCCTCCTTGATGACTATGGGATTCATTAAACCAAGGGAGAATAAGAAATTCAGAAGTACCAGGATAGTACCGAGAAACACAAACATGTAGCCTCAAAGAATTATCAAGGTCACCTGAAAGAATTTACCGGCAGTCTTCAAGGACTTGGGGAAGAAATGCTTTCAATTCCAGAGACCTTTTGATGAACTTGAGCAAAACAAACCCACTCTCCTCCCTCAAAAGGCATGCTAGCCTCAACTGGGTCAAAGAAATCTTACCTGCTTCACTGGGATTGCTTTAGGCCACTTGGATTTCTTGTCTACCCTAAATATGTCACAGAAAGGCCATGTCTTGTATAGGGACTAATGTCTCTTGATCATTGATATGGTTAAACAAACAGCAAATGCTTTAGAGCAAACCTTAGGCATCGCATTGAGGGTGCAGGAACATGCTTCCCTTGCAAAGCATTAACTTGAAGTGAATCCTGACATAGGGAGCCCTTGGGACTGGCTTGTCTCCAATAGAAGCACTTAACAGATGAGCAGGCTGCAAAGTCTATTGCTGCTACAGAGACTGGAAAGCCTTATATTCCACACATCACTACCTTCCTTCCATTCTATGCTAGATTAGAATCTGTCAAATTGAGCTTTTCTCCTTCCACGAGATCTGAATCGTGACATCTCTCCTGACGCTTTCCAAACTTGGTTTTCAATTGCTCTGAATTTGTTCTAAGGTCAGGAGGGTTCTGCGCAATTAAGAAACAAGTAACCAAAGAATTTTGGTCCCTAATCAAAGAAACAAGTAACCAAAGAGTTTTGGTCCCTAATCAAAGAAACAAGTAACCAAGGAATTTTGGTCCCTAATCAATAATTTTGACTTGTATAGACTCTCCCCTAGTAGTGCTAAAAGCGCTGTTATTTTACCAACCTGTTCCCCAGCAATCCATCCTTCAAAGGAGCGGGATCTATCTCCTCTTTCCCTGCCTGAACGCCGCCGGAAGGGAAGCAGGGCGGAGCGGGATGGGCCGGAGCGGTGTGCCCGGGCAGCGCAGCGCGGGTGATGCTCCGCGGGGCACACAAAGCCGTTCCCGGCATGGCAAGCACGCTCCCAGCCCTTGTCCCCGGTATTCCCTCGGGGGCCCTGCCCGCAGAGCCGCCCCGGGGCCGGGCCGAGCCGGGGCTCTCCGGGAGCGGTGTGCCCGGGCAGCACGGTGCGCTCACCGCTTTGATGATGCTCCGCGGGGCACACAAAGCCGTTCCCGGCATGGCAAGCACGCTCCCAGCCCTTCTCCCCGGTATTCCCGCAGGGCTCTCCGGGAGCGCCGCTCCCACAGCGGGCGGGCCCGGGCCCCGCGTGGCGCCTTCGGGCCGCATCCCGCCGAGGCCCGGCCTCCCTCCTCCTCCTCCTCCCTTCCTCCCTCCGTCCTCGCCCCGCTGCCCGGCCGTACCTCCGCGCGATGCGGTAGAGCAGCAGCCCCGCGGCCGCGGCGCAGGCGGCGGCGCCCAGCCCGGCCCCGTCCATGCCCGGTGCCGCCGCGGGCCCGGCGCTGGCGGAGCCGCTTTGTAGGGGCGCGGCCGGCGCGCGGCCCGCCCCCGGGCCCGCGGGGGCGGCGCGCGAGTCACGGCGGGCCCGGAGTCGTGCGGCGCGCCCGCCGTGACTCAGCGCCGAGGCCGCGGTCGTGCGCGGGGGCGGCCCGGCCCCGCGGGGGCGGCCCGGGACGTCGTGCCTGGCCCGGCCCGGCGTGCCCGGCCCGGCGTGCCCGGCCCGGC